GAAAGTAAACCCGATCAGTTCTTTATTGATATATCTTTCGACATACATACCTGATGCCTGTACTAAATCCTGTGTATTTTGGACTGAGCTGAGCCCAGATAGATTTAGCCCGTCAGTCTATCGCCACGTTCATGTCATCGACACCCGAGCAGAAATGCATCTGTAAACCAATAAACCAATTTCGTTGTTAATAACATGCATGCACCATAATATGTTTACTGTCGTGAAATATAATCATTTTCCAGTTTGTGCAACCATGTTAGGTTTTTCTTTTTTATAAAGATTATTGTACCATGGTCTACCTNCTACCTGGCACAGTCTGTCCTCAAACAAGTGTGAAATATATAATATAATACTGTACAACCATTAACCATGTACCTTCATGCAGCGGTTTTGTTCGCTGCTTTTTGACTACCCGTTTGTACGTTGGGCCAGAAGGAACATTGAAAAGTTGAAAGTAGTGTTTTAGGGGAAATGGGGATTTTCGGTCGACGAAAGTTGAGAAGATGCACGTGCCTCACTGTTTACGGCACTCAGCGATATCACTCAGTGTCTCTAGCCATTGAATACGGTGATCCCGTGGTCCTCATTCAGGTAACCAAACGCGACCCACATGACAGTCTCCTGGTCAGGGTTTTCATATCCTCCTGATAGGCCTTAGTTTGATCACCCACCCACTGCCTGTCTGTTATACCGTGCACTATTTACAGACGTTGGTCCGGGTTGTAAGAAACATCAAGGTGAGCAGAATATGACGTGGCGGACACATCACAAATGAAGTGTCGGCACGGTTGGCATTTGCCAACTGGAGATATCTATAGTGCCGTCGCAACATCCGGCTGTCTTTTAAGAGTTTAGGATATGCTGCAGCAGTTCGGCCAGTGCAGACTTGGCTACTACGGGAACAGGATAGAAATAGATTATCGGTGTTCAAACGCCGCTGTCTATGTCGTATTGAACGAGTTTGGTCGGGTAGACGGACGAGCAATGTTGATATTAAGCGCAGTTTCAGGTAGTCGCGGTCGTCCACTGGAGCAAGTAGTCAACCTTCATAGGTTACACTGGTTGAGACGTGCTACGCATGTCGCCAGATACGTTGCCTCAGCGAGTGATGGTTGCTGAGGCGGGTAGCGGTTGGGAAAAGATCAAGGATGGTTAAAATAAGACTTGGAATGAGGGTGTGGAAACCCTAACCAAGAGACTGGGTCGCATGGGTCCCGTTAAGCTCCCTGGCTGGGGACCCCGAGATCGTGGTCACCGATGATTAGACACTGGATGTTATGGCCGGGTGTCGCAAACAGTGGCGGTCATGCATCTACCTTCATTCTCGCAGCATCAGTCTATATGAATTCTCCATCTTCAGCTTGAATTTGCTTTCAACATTTCAATCTTCATCCTGCTGTTTTATCGAAATCGACGACCAAAACCGGAGCACGAAAGTGCATGGTCAATGGTTGTAAAAACGGAATATAATGTGGCGTAGAGGGTTAAAGAGATTATGCTCAGATCTGGCTTCCGCTGGGGGACCAAAGATTCAGATTGTCTTTGGCCAGAGACATTGCGGGATACGGCATCCATTCCTATATGCGATCGCAAAAAATGAAAAAACTCAAATTGGCGTGCAGTAAACGAACAAAAATTGTTATTCCCCAAGTTCACTGTTTTTGTTTTCCCCTTCCTGTTCCTATGTTTTACGTGAAACCCATGGTTACTTTGGCGCCGTGTTTATCTATCTGTATACATTCTACCTTAATCGATTTATCATTATCATCGTACAGCGGAATACAGTGAGGCGGAATTCCCTGATCTCTGCCAAACTCGCAATGCACACAAGGTTAGTGCTAATATGTAAGGTGAATATAGATTATAACTATTTTGAGGAAAGGGAAGAAAATCTGTTTGGTCAATACGGAGTACACTGTGCATACATACCGTTTCAAGCATTCTATCCTAATAAGAAATGACAACAAGAACGCCACTGCTACGGGTTCGCTGCCATATCATTCAATGTTCCCAACCAACCAGTTGCAGTCTTCCGGACCCCAGTCTGAAAGGTGCGAGGTACCTAGTCTTCCTGATAACCGGGCATTCCCTTATGCCTCGTTTCCACGCCATCTGTTGATCTCCACGTGGTTTATTTAGTCTGGAGCGGCTACAGCGAATAGTCAATTGGCGTTTGAAGTAACGATCATAACTTTGACGTTCAAAGTTAACTGAGCTTTTGCTGTTGTTTGTTTGAGCCGGTTCGACTTTGGAATACTCTGACGGGATAGTTTTACCTTAACCTNAACCTTTTTATTAGACCAGATCCGGACCGGTCATCTTTTATGACCTGTGGTAAGAATAGGCACAGAAGCAGCACTGTCGGCTACCAATATACAGCCCTAACTTAATAAGTAGCGACTGCGCGAAGAATTTCGATTAGGATCTTATTTTTGCGCTTGTATGCATGCAGCCACAGCTTTCCATTCGATTGTTTTTATCTAATATTCCGCGATTAACTTCTCTAGTTGCGAAGGTCTTATTAAACCTAGTTCTCATACCTCTTATTATGTACCAAACTGTGATTGGATGAAAATATTGCGATTTAAACTAGAAATATTCATACCCAAGTTCGATATTTGATCACCCTAATCAGTCGATGGAAATATACGTACGGCGCTATTTACATGCACTAGAAGTCATCTTTTTTAGTCAAGTAAGTCTAGCTCTATGCAC